AAAGCAGCTCTGTCAGTGAGCAGCGTCAATCGATTTCCACTGGATTTGAAAACGTCGGCACCACTCAACAGATGGCCTCCGTAGTTATGAGTTGTATTTCTCAGACAGCTATTACCATCATATATACCGTACCGACCAACGCCGCTAGTCTGGGAGAAGACAAAAACACAAATGGGCCAATGTGAATTTGTAGAAGAAAAACCACCAATAAGAATTTTGGCTACATTGATAACTACAGGCTGATGAGTAGCTGGGGATTCTGGTTTTCTTATAGATCAAACATCATCCATAGTTGATCGCAGCCATCGCATTCCCATAGACTTTCCAGTCGGCTCCTTCCGAAAAAATACACTAGGGTAGAAGTAGAACTCCGGCCAAGCTTTTCATGGAGCACCCGGGTTTACCGTTGTGGGCACCTGATTATTACTGACAAGCAAAAGTGGTTGAACGTTCGCATATGGTAATTTGGTCGTGCCTAATGTGAGGTCAGTGGCGTAGTGGTAAACATGGCTGCCTCAAGAAGAGCGTGACCGGAGTTCTAGTTCCGGTAATGGCAAGGACATGCACCACTGACGAGTTCTAATGACAGCAAAACTCAAGTCTGTGCTTCTTTGTGAAAGGGGCCGGCTGGAAAGTCTGTGAGAATGCGACAGCTGCGGTTAATTTTGAGTGAGGTTCAATTTGTATGAAAATACTCATTGATTATTGCGCTACTTTATTCTCGTATTTTTAATGGTATTTCTCCAGCTGGATCATTTTGAGTCTCAAAGAGCACTTCAGAAGTGCTTTTATGTCGATAGTCAAAATTCAAGTCAGAATAACTAAGAGGACAAACCAATTATCAAATTAATGACAACGTGTCTTCCAGCGGGCTGATCGTCTCCTGTCATGTGTTTGGCCGCGTGTCACAATAGCAACTGAAACTTAATGTTTCACGGAAAACTCATTTCTGTTTGAAAAACAAAGCCTCAGTTGAAACAAATAGTGAGATTTTGGCACTGCGATAATCTTGCACTGTTTATAATCGCGGGCATGATGAGCTTCAACAGTTAATCAGTTGAATCCATAATGCCCAAAAAGTCAACTTTGTCGGACAAAAATATGTAGCCCTACACAAGTGAATGTGTTAACCTAGCACACTCTTATTATTTCAGGTAGGTAATTTAGCTGTTCAAATATTTACTTGCCTAAAGTACATGAGACGGTGTCCTATTGATGGTTTTAATTTCTGGGTATCGACCACTTTGACGATAGTTACTGAATCAATCAGATCAATCTTGTGAACATTCTTTCTTATATGACTAACTGTTTACTCTGACCTGCTCGATGATCAATCCGGTTCAAGCAAAGGCATACTGGGCAATCTTTTGTTCTATTGATTTTCTAGCATTACGGATCCTCATACGCTCTTGTAGATGAGGTGTCTCAATGAACGAAAGAATGTTTAAACAAGAGTATGTCACAGAGCTTATCAGCAACATACAAAGAAGAATTGGTTCGAGAAGCTCGACTGAATGTTGACCTACGTAATACTGTTATACAAAACAAACGTACTGGTCATCCTCAGGACGCATTCAGATAGACTGTCATTTCTAATCGTATCACTTTGTATAAAGTAGGTCAGGTTATTTTACCAAAAGTACACTAATCGGGTGAATGTTCGACACCCCCCGAAGGTTGTTGTTGCAGTGGAAAACGTGCAAGGTTAATCATGGGTCAATTAAAGCACACACAGATAAGTTGAAGAACCGTACCTGTTTATAAGAATGCACATTTGAGTAGTGTGTTTCTACTAATCAGTATTCACAGTAGAAAGCATCTGTTTCATTAGCTGTCACAAATCATGTCGAAAGTCGTGCACATCTCTGGGCATAAAGAGCCCCAGAACACATGTTTATCTTTTGAGCAAAATGAGTATTTGTTGATTTCAGCTGCTGCTCAAAGTTTAATGTGTGGTCCTTTGTATAAAAAAACGGATTGTCCGTACAAACAAGCACTAGAGTGACATACATGTATTTCGCGTTTCGGTTAAACAACCTAAGTAAATCTTATTGCCAATCTGCGTTGTTTACTTTCAAACTCTCGTTAGTGATTTTCTGAAAAGAGTCATGTAATTCTTTATAATCAGCTTAGTTATCGACATGTAAGTCGTGTACAGCCTGGGTGTACTGCCACCTGAAAAGTAAGTTCGTGCTTCAAGTTCACTGCATGAACTCAAGTTCTGGCGCCTGAGAACTTAGTAAATGTTGAGTAAAGTGTAAAAGAACCTACAAGAAAAGAAAATCTGACTGATTGGAGTTATGCTCACCACTATATAGAATATGTTCAAGAGGATAACGTGGCCTTCTTCGACTTCAATCATCCATGTGCAGGGTCGATCGGCTGCATTGAAAAACGATATCGAGCCAGTAGCAGTTGTGTAGTTCGCTCCACAAAACTCTGAAATGACGCAAAACCATTGAAATTTGTTTGTTGTAAACTGATCTAATCAGTGAACACAAATAAGATCAATATCCTGAGTTTTTAAACACAATAACTAAAGTTATCTGAATCAACCTACACTCTCAACTATGTGTAACCTAGTTGACAAGTAGGCACTAAGTTAAAAAAACCTCGTGGAGACCACGTGAGACAATGCCATTGTCAGTATGTTGGAAATTGTTTTGGGAAGAACATTGCTTTTAATTACAGATATTTTGTCGTAAAATTAACTACAATGCGAGTGATACAGAAGGTTGTACTCCTCTGATCAACGGCTCAGAATGGCTGCAACGGTTGGAATTTGTGAAATTATGGTCCCATTACACTTTACTTAGAACCCTGTGTACATACCTTTGTAATAATCGATAGTGATTACAAAAGGCTGAGCGTACTCTTCATTTTCTAATTCGTGACATGTACAGTTGTGCCACTGAGCTGGGCCGAGGTAGAAGGCTTGTTGAACGATTCCATTTAGGCAACAAATATGTGTGCCAGTTCCGACTAGTCGCCGTTCACCAGAACTATACACTGATGAAGGGTTGGGTAAACTAATTTTGCCCTGTGTACTTCCAGTGTTTACCGACTTATGGCTAGTGTGACAGACTAAATTTCACCGGATATAAGCCGGGGTTTGAAACAAAAGTCTCAAGTACAATATTCAGCGTTTTAAAAGTTCATTTAAAATATGCGTTTTGCAGTATGACACACGGAAATAAACGACCGATAAGGTCTTGAAAAAGGTATCATTTACAATGCTAACACTACAAACGGACCGATTACTTGGTCCACTTGATGTAGACTTACGCGGTATGAAGGTTGACTCCTTCACGCCTATTAATGTGGTCAAAAACGAAAAAGGATGTGGTTAGTTTACAGCTCCAAAACATTTTTTAAAATGAAAAAGAAAACATCAGAACAGTTAAAGAAAGATTAAACTTTCAAAACTGCAAAACTTACTTTTGTCCGGTTCTTCTGTTATGGGTTACACAGAGAGAGAGGGAGAGAGACAAACTTGATAAAATTTCGGAAACATTGTAAGACATTTCATAGTACGATTCACATTTTGGTAATGTCGGTTACGTAATGTTTTGCGCATTATCACTTCATCATCACATGATTTTTCCCGAACCGTTCAGTACTGGCAATCAAACACCCAGAAAATAGTTGTAGGCTGACGTTATATGTAATTATCACGGAAGCGTATATGGGGGTCAACAGACTGTTTACACTACATGTTGTGAATAGCGATCTATTTATTCTATACCATAGCACAGTAAACGAAATCCAATGGGTGAATGAAACAAAGTTACCACACTGCTGGCGATCCCAGTGAACATGAATAGTACACTGATGCTTACCTGCAGTATAAGTGGCGAAGAAATTGTGAACCTCATTCAGATACATATAGGAAATGAACATGATGGCCATTTGATTGGTAGAAGAGAAGAAATGTTTCCGTTCACTACTCAAAACCATTCCAGCAACAGGAGATGTGCAGGTCGGACCGTCGTATAAGAGAACATTGTCGGATGGCATATATTCTGAAGGACCAGGTAGCTGCACGATAAGATAGAACAAAGCTAGTAAGTTGAAATGCATATGGAGCCAAACGGTTACGTGCTAACAAATAGGCGGGATGGGCTGTGATCGTTCATACGATATTGGTCTGGATTTTATTTGAATGTAACTTATATGAATCATAAAGAATTGCTGTGTGCTGATCTTTGGAGCGCACAACGACATTTTACAAGCAGACTTGCTGAGTGTTCTGTTTTGTTTTCAAGTCTAAATCTATATTTTTAACATCCGGTAATCGACGTCTTGTCAAAAGAACTCGCAGCAAAAATCTTCTGAAAGCGGTTATCAATTTACAACTACGATCTCTTCTCGTGAAGACGTCAATAAAATGGTACCCAGTGGCATTCAACTAGTGACAGCAGTTTTCTAAAACCGAGTTGCCAGCGACGCCGCTGGTTAGTTTGATTCAACGACATGTGTTGATCACAGGAATACAGCGCAAGACTACTCACGGTATTTTATCACAAAAATTTCCTTCCTAAATACTGCGTGTAATAGTGGAACTAAGGATATCGTGAAAATGTCATTGAATTTACAAGAGAAGCATAACGAACGAAATTTTTCAATAATTCTCTATCAAATCAATAAGATTACTGAAGTTTGGCGAATCCAAGGCAATAACTAAACAACAGAAACATATTTTGAAAATTATCGTTAGTTTATGTAAAGCGTTACAAAAGCCCTATTGTTTAAATTCCAAGACCTATAACTACAAGCCCAAAGTGTTAGTGAAGATTGGTTTTTAGTTGCATATACCAGCACGTCCCGGAAGTATGGACTGAAGTGTGGTTGAGAAAGCAGACTGATAGTGTGACTATTGGCAGCAATCTTTGATGCAGTGATTTATGGAACTCGAAACCACTCGTCGTTAACACTGATAGTTTTGACATTTGAGTAGTTGGATTATAGGTCCAAATGTGAAATGTTCCAGCTCTTGGCATAGCTTTGTAGCTCAGCTGGTAAAAAGTTTGCCGTTTTGAGGCATGATATTTCTGTCGCTGGTCCGAATCCAGTCGAAGCTCTGACTTTTCACAGCTGGGACTAATCTAGATTACAGATGTTTGGAATTAAGTCTTGCTTAATATAACCTAACGAAATTAATAAGGGCGCGTTCAGATATAGCTGCCTTCATCTGAACAACAGCTAACGGAGTACGAACAAACGTTTGCAACAAGCAGCGAACAAGTGCAGTGAAGAAGAGCGATCGTATTATACTACTCATACCACGGCTATTCAGTAACAGGTGCAGAGCATATATTTTGACATCGTACAAGCCACAGGAAGAATGCAAGAAGAAACATCATATTGCAACATCGTCTGTGACAGCCGAGACGGTCTGAGGCCGAATACCGCGTGTAAATGAGTGGTCTTGTGTCTGGTTTTGTTTAAATGCTTAAGCCATGTATTGCTTTGTCGAATAAACAACCCTTATGCCATCCGCGTTCTTGGATCACAACAAAAGGTCCGGCGGTAAAACATTGGGACACCGCTTGAACCGTGTTGCCAATATGTAAAACAGTTACAGTCTCTGTATAATAGATTACCCAAGACATCTATGAATATCAAGTTTAAGTGGGCATGTGGAAGTTTGCCCTCCTGATTCCAGTGGGATTAAGCCAAAAGAACCAATAGGGACGAACAATCCAAACCAGAACAAATATGAAACTGAATACTGACCAGCTGGATAAGGGCTGAAGCAACTGCTGGATGGTTTTCTCCATGGTTGCGAAACGGTGAGTTTCTCCTGTCGGCTTCCTTTTCATACTGTCCTAAGTCTTAGATCACAGAAAGGTAGCATTTTGAATCGGAATGATTGGAGCTATGAAATCCTGAACAACACTCAACGCCCCTTCGATAGCAGTTGCATAAACTTGAATTCAAACAAGCTACTCCCAAAGGAACAACAGATGCCTTAATTCCTGACGCGATTACTTGCTGTTGCATCAGATGTGATCACCTAAACGCTGACAGTTTTGGATTGGTGAGCTATCAGCGTGCTGACATCAGGCCACCAACGGAATAACAGTAGGTGCGTCAGACACAAGTAAGCTAACTGGATTGTATGCAAGTACTTTCCTTCATACTAGCCAGCCACTCTCTCCACTCGTCTAGCAAACCCATGGCTCACCTTTACAGAAACCTTGAATCATGATGATTTGCTACCTTTTATTCGTTTAAGCTTCATTATTGCAGTGTATTCTTGACGACTTTTGGTTTCCTAATCTAGATTTAAATATCTGACTGACTTTCATTCCAATATAAAGTATACTACTATGTAATTTTTCGAGGAAGCTCTTTGTGTCCCACGTTTTAAATATAGTTTGGGCCACACCACTTTTAGTTTTTGAGACACAGACATTTGAATTTCGCACCAGCTGATCATCTGGCTAGCTGGTAGTGGCCGGTTGTACTACAAAAATATTTACTTACAGGCCGTCTGGTCCAACTGTCTGAAGTGTACACCGAAAGTGGTGCTACGTAAGTCACTTATGGTGGTGCTTATGTGTAAGCATCCTGCAGCTCCGGTCAGTTTGATAGAATATTCAGCTAACTGATGAAGCTAACGATCAAATTGTTCTCTAACCCAGATGTATCTCTGACAAGACAGAACTTCATTTGTGCTTCACACGAACTAACTGTGTCTCCTCTCGAGTCGATCGGGCAACCTGATCATTATTCACAAGCGAAAGTGGTTGGGTGTTCACATATGATAATCCGGTCACGCCTAACGTGAGGTCAATGGCGCAGTGGTAAACACAGTTGCCTCATGAACAGCATGTCAGTGGTTCAAGTCCCGGCTGCAATGGCGATGATATGCATTACTGACGAGCTCTAATGAGAGCGAAACTTGTGTCTAGTGCTTCTAGTGCTTTGAAGAGGGCCGACTGGAAAGTCTATGGGAATGTGACAACTCCGATCAGTTGTGAGTGATGTTCAATTTGAAATAAACCAAATCCCCTACTACTCACCAGTGATCTAAAAGGATTGTTTCGCTAGCAGATGAGTTTTTTAAAACTCAGTCCTTAAAAATTCTGTTTATTCACCTTCTTCCTACTCGTTGTCAGACGAATTCAATCCGAACACACTCAATCGATCAGACTCAAACAGTCTTGAAGCAACTTACATTCACCGGGTCAAACAAAAGATGTATTCGTTTGCCTGGATCCACTTTGATTTCCCAAAAACAAATAGTGTTACTTGGATAACGGCCTGGGTAACCTGGACTGGTAAAGTTACCATTTGGTCCAGACAGTGTTACGTTACAGCCTGAAAGTGTATAAAGAAGTTCATTTTGAACTAGTATAGTATAATATATTTAAAAATGCGCTGTCTGAGTGAGTGAATTACATGCGGTTATTCATAATTATTTCAATTTGATAACATGTTTTTTGAACCCGTAGAAATGGATTCTCAACATTTTAAGCAATCACTTCTTGAGTAGGTGAAAAAAACAATTAGTTCATCTACAGTGAATTACACAATGGTAAGAGCAACAATAACTATGATAATCTGTAGAATACTTTTGTGATCAGAGTCGTTCGATTCAAGATTAGAAAAACTATTGTTTCAGCTTAGTAGCTAATTCATGAATATGAATATTGTGTTTGTGTTGAACTCTTAAAAAATGACGAACACGAGGACAAAAGTAAATCCGGACTCATGTAAGTTAGTACTTTTGACATGCGTTTTATGTTGTAGAACTACACCTGGAAAGTATTGAATTAAGATGGTGAACTTTCACGTAAAACGGCAGTAAAAACATTTTGCTCCCTTTAAAGTAGTGAGAAAAACGAGGCCAACGAGCTGTTTAAAAGAATCTTCATTAACAAGTGTTGAAAGCCTTGATATTCTTGAAGAAATCATGAAATTCCTGAACATCACAACTATGAGAGTGGGCAATAGATGCAACAACAGAGTAGACCTGTAGGGGTAAGTCGATTGGTTAAGTGATTTGAAACCGATTACAGCCTTTAACGTCTGCGATAAAACGACAGTCTTCTCACTCTGATGAAAGCAAAATTCCCACGAAATATTTAAGCATTAATTATATGAAGTGACAATTTTGTTTGTAATGAACTGAATATCAGTTAAAATTTATCAGTATCTGGGAGATATTTTGAAAAACACATTTGCATGGACTTTGCATTATAAACTTCCCGATTGAGCTATGCACTTGATATGATAAAGCTAAATGTGCTCAATATGCAAATTGTACAAAAGTTGTTCCTGACATCTACGTTAGAAAAGCTTCATACTTTCCGAGGTGTCAACTAGAAGATTTGTCCTAGTTGTGAGATTATCTGTTAGAATTAACAGGACAGTAGCTACGTCTCTTGTCGAGACGACTGAACACTCTCAGCGTTATTGAGAAGTGAACGGGAATACACATTTAACTGTTTGACTCGCTTTTGCGTTGTATGAGGACAATGGCTCAATTATCAACGCGGTTATCTTTTAAATATATGAGCAAGGTTAAACTGATAGTCATGACAAGATTACATCCATCTGATAGGTTCATACAGGAGGATAACTGTATTCTACTGCTTCTGTTCCAAACAGGCTGATCGAAAATTTATGGAAATGCGAAAGTTGATAATAATTCCTAATAATATTCAAAATATATCAGCACGTCTAGATATCTTCACGACCAGTTTAATACTCATTTGTAATGTTAATGTTATTGAAATTTAATACTCGACTGCATATGTTTTGTTTCATTTAAACGTTTTCTCACTCCTACCTCTACCTAACTTACGTTCACGATAAAATTATGCAAACCTGACTCTTTAACTGGCTGAAAACTCTTACACAAAACATCAAAACCGCAGTTTCCGTTAGCAGGTTTTTTCTCCATATAATCTAGTCTCATCAAATAAAAGTTAAATCCTTGTACTATCTAACCAACAATAAATTCTATATGATTGTACTAGCTAACAGTTGAAATTAACTAAAAACAGTCCTTTTCTTCGAAATGTCGTTTTCAAACTTCATTTTGGTTGAATCATCATCATTAACCACTCGTCATTTCAGACAGCAATGTATGAACACTTCCGTGTCGATCATGTGGTCAATAAAGCCATTTTGAAAAACACTGCAAAAAACTTACTGTAAACTTTTTCAAAATAAACCAGTCCAATTATAAGCAGAACTGAGAACGCCATCAAAATTAGTATAGTCCTCAAAGTATTTCACAGTGGTGACCGAATTTTTCTGCTGAATATCTAAATGGTGCTCACATGAAAAGCGTTACTTAATGCGACGTTTAATTCAATGCCTGAATGTGATCGATAGCTTTCAGAACAATCCGTGAGAATATAAAATCCGCTATATCTGCACCAATCACATAGCCTTTGAGGTGAGAAGAAAGGAAATGTACTTTGAAGAGGAAACGGTTTGTTAATCAGACCATACTTCACCAACTGCAATGAATTATTTCTGTTCACAGTTTGAAACTTACTAACATGACAATTTTCAAGCGAATTGAATTGCTTTTGAACTAGTTTTCAGTAAGAGATTCCAGAAGATTAGCCTACAGATCAGTGCCCTCTAGATTAATTCATAACTACTGGACAGTAAAATATTGTGATCAGCGAACTTGTGTAAAGCTGGATAAGACGGAGAATGTTAGGGAAAATAACGAAACTTATTGCATGCACACAGACATCAACGTCCAGAGAAAAGTCCGTTTTCAACACGATCTTCTTCTGATGTTCATGTGTTCAATTTGGTGCATTTGTGGTGTGTAATCGTCAAACAGTATTGACTTAGCAAATTGATGAAGCCGGCAGTTTCTTATTGCTTAGCGTTGGTGAATTACTTGTTGCAAGCCATTTGAAGATTGACAAGAAATGCCAAGGTATCCTTTAATATAGTAATTCATAAATGTGTCATTAACGCTTGCTTCTCAAACAGGGTTAAAAGATGTGCTTATGACTATAGTGAACAAATTTCTTTCTTTCTTCTAAACGTTCCGGTCCCTCTTGAAATGGAAATGGAAATGCGGAAGCTGCGAGTAATTCTG